CAAAAATATTTTTTGGAGACAGCAGGTCTTTTGCAAAACAAAGAAAACAATTGTCAGTATATCTTTCAACTAGTCACGGAAGTGCACCCCGGGAAAATCTTCCTAAGGAGAAGGTTCTCAAAATAAAACGAGGATCATTGTTCTAGGATATTTGTAATACAGTGACAGTCCCCATGTAATACCATAGTAAAGCGAAATATCAATGTTCCCATTAAAAGTGAATTTTTGTACGTTTGAGGCGGTTTCTGGATTTCAGTATTTTATGAGATTATTCCAATTGCTATATCACGCATGTGCGGGCACATTTCTATAGATGTGCCTATACCTTGTTGTTGAGCTGTCCAAACTTCAAACGACACAGAAACAGATGAAAGTTCTCATTCCATTCCATGCTATAGAAAAGTAGTCAGTGCACTGATCGCAGCCGTTACTCTTGAGATGCCGTACGTTACTCTTATGTTTTTAGAAAAGTCAACAGATCCTTAGCGCTGTACTTGGTACATTTTGTTGTGCTGATTTAGTTATTTAGTTAAATATAGGGAATACACAAAGATAGTCAATAGTAATAACTCGAACTATTTATTCACAAGAGGAAATTTTTAGAAGGAATTATTAAATATGAAACTGTTACCATTTCAGAGTATAGAAAAGTAACTCGAGAGTTCGATTTCATGATTCTTGAAATCTCTATTTTAGTTTCATTGGCGTATTTTAGAATAATGTAAATTGCCTTTTTTTATTAATACATTTTTTAGAGCAATATTGAAAACTGATATTTTCGAATAATACCTAGCTCGCTTTTTTGCGGAAAGTGTTTTCGGCTGAGGGTTGTTTTATATGCACAAAATTTAAGCTATAGCTATATATATATATTTGCTGTTTTACATAAGAATAAAGAATACCTGCTGTATATTTAAAATATTTTCGATTATCTTATACGCGTCTATTCAATAAAACTAGAATTTTCAGTGTCATTTCAAATATTACAATATATATGCAATACGAATAATTTATAAAAAAACGAGTTCAAAAATAAACAAGTGGAGTTCTCAGGCCTGTAATATCTTTTCTCGTTTTCAAGATAGTCGGTTTTAAAAAAGGAACAAATTATTAGGCGTGCCTGCATGAGAAGCAAATAAAGAAATAATAAACAAACTAGAGACATGCAGTCATGCTGAGTTGCTGACGCTTCACCTTTCACTGCCCATTACATTTAGTCTATTAAAACAGGAAACATCGAGAATATATGATCGAGATTTACAAATTTATAAACTGTGTTTAAGAAAAACAAATTCTTGATTATTGGAACATAATATATACTTTTTCATATACTCCTTCCTCTCAATCCTTCATTCGCGGCATTTTTTAACTTGCATATCTCGCTTCCCAGCCCGGTACGCTCATGCATGATAGTAACGGCCGTAAGATTTAGAGACGTGGGACGGGGGCGTAAACCACGAATGCTGACAATACAATGAAACGGTACCGTACTCGGTCGCCACCAATGGCGCCAATTTAAGAAGCTGGCAAATTGGGCACCCGTGCGAGTCTGTTTCTATATTAACTTTGTTTTTGTTTTTCGCGGTGAACGATTGCGTCGACACAAAACAATATAGTCTGGTGGCCAGTTCGGCTTCAATTCGGCTTCAAAGACCCGTATTTTGACATTTTGTTGCAGTATGGTCACATTTTACTGCCTGGAAAATGTTTAAAAACATTATTCCTTAATTTCTTCGCATAGTCCTTTCTTAAAAAACTTTCACACTGTTAATTAAATCCCTTGCACACAATCTGATCTCATATAGATTTACTAGAAATTAAACCCAGGTCCCATTCGGAGGCAGATTTGTGGTATGCAGACCCCACCTGGTGCGGTTGCCACGACCACATCATAAGGTACCGCCCGTGAGCAGATGTCGCGCTATAGCTGCTTTTTGTGACAAATACTCTATCTTCTCTGCCCTCTATCACCGCTGTGTGTCCAAATTAAAATAACCCAGCATCAATTCGTTGAGACAATGACACGTAAAAAGCCAACTTAAAACCATGCCGACTATAATCATTGAGTCAGTAATTTGACAATAAATATGATTACCAATATTTATAGAAATGACAAGTTTCGTATGCCACTATACTTGTAATGCTAATGTTAACAAGCCGGATATTAGTGGGATTTATCAAGGCTTAAAGACTCCAGTGTTTCTAGATACACACGTCCATGTGCTACGCAACTCTAAGACGAGTAAATATATTTATAGCTCTATTATCCAGAAAGTACGCCGAGAACGTCATATCCTGCTGATCTATTCAACCTACTGGAGTCATGCTATCACAATACATTAACACCCGAGAGTGCATGCTGTGCGGCTTTCAGAAGTTAAAGCTATTTAGGAGTTATTAGTCCAGGATTAGCACACAACGCTGGCTGTAAATTATCGTGCTTTACTGTTTCTAAAAGGATGTCGGTACTATAGCTAGACAGCGTATCGCCTCTGCGCGAGAAAATGAATTGAGAACTTTCCGGAAGATATGTAGTCAATATTTACACGAGTCTTTGCAAGCTTTTTCGGGCATTTTACAATATTTCACAGCCCAACTTTGCAAGTGTAGTGAGAGAATTTTTTAGATCCGTTTGAAACGAATAAACTGAAACAAAATAACATTATAATGTTATTTTGTTTCAGTTTATTTGCTTATCCAGTTGTATTGCCCACAGCCTTGGGGAGTGGGGATATAGGTAGCTATACTGTTTTGCATGATTTGGATTTTGGTGCCGGCCGAAGTGCCGGATGAAGTATACAAGCGCGCAAGCATTGTGCACATGACTATATAGGCTTATAGCTTGCTGTAAACAAAGGCAATGGTTTAATTATCTGGTAGAATATATAGAAGCCCGGCAAAGGCCGGCATGCATTTTAGGCTTCGTTTAGAAAAGCTTGCCTAATGAGTTCTTTACTTTGTGTAAATAAAAACTAAAATATAAAATAAAAAGTAATTTTTCTTGGAATGTCAGTTGGTTAATTGTCAGAGATTTCGTCGCGGAGTGCATCACTTATCAAATTCAGGAACTGCTGGGAAACTTTCGAGAAACCGCTTGAATTAATCGCGTTAAACAAAAAGACTGCTGTGCAGTTACAGCCTCATGAATTTACCTACCACGGCTATTATAGGTAAGAGATAAAGAATATAGATCTACTTTTCTACAGTCACACATGCATTGACCGGGCTTCCGGGATGAAGTGGTTCTATATTCATGATCGTTTTTGCACCCCGAGCCGTTTGTCCAAATTATTTATTCCGCCAGGTTTCTGAAAAGCTGAAAGATTCCCATCAGTTTCCGAATTTGACGAGCGATAGAAGAAGACGAGTATCTAGCTCAGTAACAACCAACTGGTATTCCATGCAAACTAATATGGCGACTCGTTACGGCACTACATGATTCTCTGTTGATAAATATTCGTTGTCAAAAAAGGACTGAAAAATCAGGATGACGAAGAACATTGAATCCAGTGGTATATGGATCATTGGGGTTATATATAAACGTGTAACTAACACTGAAGCCGCTATGAAGGGTACAAACACAGTCCACACACTTGTAACTGAATTTTTAATACGGGGTTCATGCATGAATTCCAATAAAATTGAGAAGAAAGAATTTTTATGTCTACGATCTTGTCTTAGTTATAAAAGCTTCACAACAATAGCTAGCAAACTGGGCATTGATCTAACTCCCCGCTATTAGCTTTTAATACTATATATAAAACGTTCCTAAATCAATAATTTATATGACTTTGATTGACTTTTGTAAGAGAGGAAACTGAGTTTGAGTGAAAATTGCCCCAAACCATATGTATATTTCGAGATTTCATCCGGAATGTTAACAGGAAGTCTGTATATTGGTAAGCAATACCACTACAAAAACTACTTTGTTAATACGAAGCTTGCATTTCAGACTTTGTACTCACATGGACTTAACTGGAAACTGTATATCAACTTCGCCGGAATTATCTCAGTGGCAGGGAGTCCGCAACAGTGTTAGCCAATTACTGTGGGTCTATTGCTAATTCCCGGGGATTAGTCACAAGAAACCGCAGAACCCACGGAAACCCGCAAAGCACGGTAGAGAATCTCAAATTTAAGTCCAGCCTCACCAACAGTACCTGTCTCATGCACGGTGACCGGCAGACGTGCGTTCAGTAGACTTGCTGTAAGACAGGCTTAAGTCAATGGTAAAAAACTGACCAACAGACAAGCGGCCTTAAAACATTTCAAATTTTACATGCAATGCGAAAACAAAGAAGCTTTGCTCGCAAAGTTGGCTCGTGTAATCCTACAAAAGCTCGTATTATTATTGATATTGTACAAGTCTACTCGAGGAAACGTGTTCAAGTCGCGTAAACCAAGGCGAATGGCACGTTGCATATGCTTTGTGACAGCCTATTATAAACTTTTGGCCTAAGCATTTTATACTGACTTTATGGTTTCTGCCTTAGCAATGCCGTAAGCTATTCTACGTTATCGGTTAATCACAGTGCATTTCAATATAATCGAGAAGCGTGGCAACGTCTTCAAACTATTTCACATCGATGTATAACAACGGCCTAAAATAAACTCATTGTAAGACACTTCTCAGTTTGAGAAGTGTTTTAGTTTATTTTAAGACGGACAGCGTTAGGAGTTCTTATGTTGTGCCAAATTTGATGCGACAGTTTACCCTATATTGATGCTTTACTTTCTGCCTGTCAATCTGCCAGAAAAGCAGCGCTTGTTCAATTTTTGATTCAAAAGATTATATATATTGAAGAATTGATTCAGGCAAAAAGGTTTTCGATGGGAACCTGATATCTTTTCTACGTCGGCAAGGTCAGTTTTGTGCGTCGAAACCAACAGCGTGGGGCAGAGATGGCCATTTGCCAGAAAGGGGGCGGCGCTTCGCAGCGTGATACCAATATATTCTTCAGCTATTAGAATGGTAATCAATGACCCTTCAGCGTATCCGGACAGTTCGCTTATCGTGGAGCACAACAATCGCTGTTAGCCAGTCGAGAGTACGCAGCCCCGAGATGAAGATCGCACTTTTTCTGCTCATGCAAGGACTCACGTCGGCGTTGGTCGGTTGTGCTTCCCCACAGTACTTTTATCCACCCGTTTTCTGGCAGCAAGATAATTGTCCGTAAGTGATTGCATGCACGGCGAAACGATAATCGTAGTGATATTTGAATATAGTATCAGCTTTAATGTGTGTTCACCACGCGTTTCAAAGGCGACAGGCGCTTAGAATTGCAGCGCGTTGTTGCTTTGAGGTTCAAAATGACTACGATGCACTTCCTAAGGCGAGTGTAGAAAAGATTTGCTAAGAATTTACCATGATATACGGCGACATGCAAGAACACCATTGCATTGGCGTATTGCTTTACCGCCTTGTGAACCTCGCCGTTACCTAATTTGCGAATTAGCGAATACATTATAATTGTTACATGGTGAAATAGCTAGATTAACCATGTTTCTTTCTTTACAATCGACGAATATATATGTGCTATTTGTGCCTAAAACGGAAACTCGTAGTAAGTTTCACCTGAAGTTCGGTGTGTAATTTTGAACCACACGAGTGTCGTTTATATTACATGGTCAGGACCGTCGGGTTTGGTTGCAAATGTATACATTTATAGTTATACGTCTTGTAGACAGCAGAGTAGATGAAGATCTATTCATGTGCATATTATATTCATATAATATAAATATGGATATACAATGCCATAGTACTTACAGCGACACACACGCAAAGTTAGTGCAGTCAGTGTCGCTGTATTTCCTACATAATTATCATAGATGTTTGGACGCAAATCGCGTGGTATCTATACTCCAGTGACCATCATATAAGCAGGTAGCGAATGATCATTTATATACTCAGACAATATATTTGTTTCCTGCAACGTAAAACATTTTTTTTTGCTCCTGGGCCTGTGTGTGGATTCTTGACTCAAATTCGCTTGTATATACCCCTAGCTATTTGCCCACGAAGATTGGAATAATGTCAGTTGGTATTGTTTTGGAGATGTCAGTCCAAAATATTTACATAAGACTTTATACTATCCCATGATCTATTGAACTTTTATAAAAAAATAAGCATAAGTGCTTTGCTTTGGTGAAAATAACACACGTATCGACTCGCTGAAATTAATAAAGGCAGAGCTATTTAAATCTTAAAAATTTAATCTTAACCAAGAGGATTACTATCAACCAATGCAATACGAAAAAAGTGGTTAGGTATTAAAACGACATTGATGGATTATAGTAGCGATGGTATAATAATAGCCATATGTTTTGACCAAAACAATCCATTGTTTTGAAACATGCTCCTATTTTTATTTGTGCGCGTCTGCGAGAACTTATGACTTATCGAAATTTCATCAACATACACGCTGCATGTATATATTTTTTTTGCATGCATGTGTCGTTGTCGCAATTGTTGTGTTCTAAAAAAATATTTTCCGCAACTCAACCTCACTTAAATCTGAGCGATCTGATTACAATTTTCATTTTTGTTTTATACAATTTGAAATCACAAACTCCATAGTCTGAACCTCCCGTTGTTTCGAAGCGAAGATCCATCGCCTACAGTTGTGTATTTTTAAAACAATTTCCATATGGTAATTGCCACCAATAGAGTACTGAAGCCGATATAAATTGAAACATATACACTGAACAAGTCTTCTTGTTAAATGGTGTTTAAATAGTGGATGTGTAACAGAAATGCATATTGTTTCGATCTTCACAACTCTGCCGACTGCGGTTAATTGCAATAAAGCAAAGTTTTGATATAAGTTAATTGTTTCGTCGCCTGGGACTAATCTCTAAGCAAACAAAATGTGAAGCGCGCCATTGATATATATCAGTGCCATTGTCTTCCATTTCATTTGTTTTGGTCGCAAACTGAAGCGGGCGAGAGACCTCTTTGACCTCCGCAATGGCATAGCCATAGGAACCTCGAACATCTGTCTGCAGTTTACAGGGTTCAAAAATTGTGTACAAAAAAAGTCGCTATCCGTTGTGTATTCATGCTGATTGCTTCCTCGATGAATGCAATAAAATCATCCAAAGTCTCGTAAGATCGTCCTTCGTGCTTAACAACTTCGTTCTCCACGGTTTGATTTGAACAAAACAGACAACATGTTAATTCAATTATTTCCGACGCTAACTTTCATATAGTATTTTCTTACGTATACCTTGTTACACGCATATACTTAAAGAATTATATATCGAACAATGTTAAACGAAATCACTTGAGAATATATTCTGAAATTTAGGTATATAACATTGCTTCATGAAATGCAACCTATATCAAAATTCTAATCAACTCGTCACATCGATTTACTTCACTAGTTCACTCCAGAATTTTTTCAACGACATATAATAAATAGGTGATATATAGTTCTTTGTCTAACTTCGTGCATAGCAATTGTTGAATTGAACAAATTAAAGGTGAAAATGAAATGCCATTAACCTTTCTTAAATCGCTAGTAAGGAGATTACCAAACATATGGAATATATTTAGAACGGCAAAAACCGATTTGGTTCACAATACAAAGTTCTGTCTTCGACAAAAATGGTATAATAATTAGTCTATATATTTAACATAGTATATATAATTAGTCTATTTCGAGACATGACCACTGTATAGTTTTGTCTTGAACGGTGATCGACAAACGGTAATGGTGGACTCCAAACAGCTGGAAACATAGGAATGATATCTGCACAGGTGATATATTGTATTGCGTGACGATAAATGTAAACATCGCATGTGCGTATAATTTGTCATGATCGGACGGATTTAAAACCTGGTAATATTAGAGATACAGGATTAAAAATGAATGTCATCGAATGGCTAATTGCAGTCGAAGGGACCGGGGGGGGAGTTAGAATTGGCTGAAATGCACCCTTAAAGCCCTAATCTTTCACTTGGTAACAAAAAACCTATAGGTTTTTAGGTGTATACACTCTGAACTCCAAGGTCAAGTCATGTTTACTTGCTTCGATATCGCTATAGTTTTTGTCAGTGATAAGAGTTTGAGCTATGTGTTAATACGATACCAGCAAAGCACTGAAATGGTCGAGATACGACACTGCATGGTTGGCTCTTATCAATAAATTGATTGACGGGTCACCCAAAATTTCGAACGGATAAAAGTTACGTTGAATTGTATGTAATTACGCTTCAATCTATGAAGTGAAAAACAATCTATATGAAAGACTTTTTGTACACTTTCTCTATACAAGGTGGCTATTGAGGGCATGGACTTAAAGCAATATATATAATAGATACCATTTTTGTTCAAACATTACTTAGCAACAATGAAACCTTCATCACAGTTATATGTAGAACCACAGTTGTAGAACGTGTCTATGTATTTTAGTTTAAATAGAAACATAATCGCTTCTCTTATCATTCACGCAAGCACGAGTGAAATGTAGCTACTTACGTTCATTATATTAGTACGTTATAATCACTACTCCTTTATTATAAAGACAAGGGCCGATTGTATGAAAAAATAACTACATTTTACATAGTTACTGATTGGCCAATTCTGTCCTTAACTATGCAATTAAAAGTTAACTAGTCTTTTATACAACCGGCCCCAGGTGCTTAACAATTAAAGAAACAAAGATGTCAGAGTAAATTGAATTTTATTTATGGTTTTAAATCATGCACTTTGCGATAAAGTATATGTTTTCCATTCATTAAACTTATAGTTTTTTATTGTAATTTCGGCATAATTGTTTGAAAGAAATTGGTCAAGAGCCAATCAGTTTTCACGTGAATGTTGACAATAATAATATACTCTTAGAACCTCAGTGATTTTATATCTATATATGGTATAAAGAACGGGCTAGAAATTATAGAACTTGTCTATAGAATAGTTAAAATATTTGAGATAATAAATATTAAAATATATAGCCTGAAATTGCAGAACACTACAGTTTAAACACAGATATAACTCTATTTCACTGAGACACTTAGTAAACTACAGAGTTTGTCACTAGAAGGTGAAGTGAATAGACATGGGTGTTAAAAGGATTTTCAGAGGATATCATATTTTTTGAAGAGTTAATTATTTCATTTTTGGGTAGTAGTTACCAATGAGCTTTTCAATTATATATTTCTTATACCTAACAACAAGAAATTAATATACGCATTTTTTAACAAATCACACGAATACACGATCGCTTTTAATGATAAAATTGGCATAATTACAAATTCATCTGGTGATCATTGTGGCTTGCCTAATTTGAGGATGCCTTCCTGCACTGACGTCTATACCAATATCAAGCCTAGCAATTTTGAGATGTTATCTAAAATGCTACACGAAACAGCATCTTCAGTGTTGAATAATGTACGAATCATTATCTAATAACTTTCCAAATATTTAGGTCGTATATCGGTAATAAGGAAAAACTTTACCTTAAACGCCTAATTTGACGTCAAATTATGATTTTTTTTAAATCTGGACAGAAGTCGATTTAATCGTCTTATTTGGAGCATTAGTACATAATTATGGTGAACGCGAATTGATAAATTATTTCCCTAATGGTAAAATTATTTCATCACCCACCGTGAATCGAAGTGGGAAGTGCTGATGTATAATTTATTCATAAAACAAACACGTTTTAATACCACAAGTGTTCTTGTGATTTGTAGTTTAATTAAATAAAGATTTTATATAAATCTGTTCAAATATCATGCATGCAATTGTCTCGAAATTGCTCTCTCTTGGGATGTATAAGACCGTATATTATTACCTCGAGAAAGGTGCTAAGGAGAGTTTATGGCGAACAATGAATATTACAAGTATACACAGTGACGAATAAGGCAACTCTTTCAAACTATCATATCACCTAGAACATGAATCAACATTTGAGAGCGGACAACTGATTGGATTCGAAGTTGATAAAACGAACAAAAGATCTGCTATCACGAACGTACAACAATCAGGTTAAGTCGAATAAGTTTTAAGAAGTACAAGTTTAGAATAAAAAAAATCCCCAGCTTATCGAAAAATATATCAAACTTGGCATTCTGACACATCGGAAATTAGTTTAGTTAATATCAACAAAAGATTGTTAACAAATAATGCCTCCTGGGCGAAATGATTGTCTCCCCAATAAGGAATGACG